CTTTATGTATCCCCCAATTGTAAGTCGCTTTGGATAAAAGCGTCTGCTAAATGACTAAATGTAAATGTAAATGTAAGTATTTCAAACCTGTGGGAAGCACTGACCTATATAAATATTTTAGAGGGTATACAGTCACATTTACATGTACATATTATTTAATATAAAAATGACAATAAATATGTTTTAGTAATATTAATTATTTTATTTTTATTAATTATATATATATATATATATATATACACACACACACACACACACAGTGATATAATATAAATGCATATGAATGATTAATAATTATTATCATTATTAATAATTCATATTATTTTTTATTTAAATTTATATTGAAAATTATTATTTGTTTTACTTAAAAAAAAATATATAAAATAAAAAAAAAAAAAATATATATACACAAACACCCAAATGTAAGCACCTGACATTCCTCCTCAGCACTGACTGTGTCTGCACCGTCTCTCAAACACAGAGCCTCTGAGAACTGACTGCTCTTATTAAGGTCAGATGCCCAGCCCAGGCACGACCTCAGGACAGGGTGGGCCGAACGCTGACAGACGCCCCACACACTTCTGTGTGATGACTCTGCACTTCAGCACTCTCACCAGACTCAGATTATGACATTAACCATGGAATTATGGGGGGAAAAAACAAAAACAAAATCCTACAAAAGTAGCGCTGGGAAGTTGGCAGAGTCTTGTTGTCTCTAGGGGTTTAAACAAGGACGCTGTGTACACAAGCGTACCGCATGCCTTTCCCACCGAGAGAAGGTAAAACAAGGTGAGACTGACGTCACCCATCATGTTTGCCAAATATGCTGTCACACAGGGACAGGAAGATGGAATGTGAAGCGTTAAAACATGAATCAGCAAACATTTTAATCTTACATCAGCCTGGCAGAAAGTCCACATCAGGATGCTGCCCCCCCGCAGAAATACCCTCAACACAGCAACATGTTATAAAACACGACAACAAGGCTGATGATATCCGTCACATCCTGTGAACTCACGTCAACTTAGCAAACATTTATACAGGAGAATCTGAGGCAACTTTTACATAGAATCTAAATAGACTAACAAATCTAGGGGGTTTAAAACGTCTACATACAGTCATTTGATTCACTGAATAATGTTAGTTGTTCTGGGGATATGTTTTAATATTTACAATATACATTTAACATTTTTTAATATCAGATTTTAAAACAAATTTGTCTTTTTAAGTGGTCCATTTTAATGAATCAGTTCAAAACACTGATTCAACTGATTCCTTACATCACTCAAAAATATGTGAAGTGCTGACATGACATTTTTCATGCTTTACAATGTTTTAGTAATAATAAAAAAATATATATAGTTATATTGGTCCATAAAAATTTATCATATCAACATCAGATAGGTGGAAATGTGCAAATGTTGAATTATTAACATTATATAACATAAATATAAAAAAATATTAACTTAAAATCTTAGGGTACTTAGGCTACTACAAGTAAATATCTTAGGTCACAGGCATTGAACTAACAAAAAAATAAATTAATATATAAAAAAATCATACATTAATATTAAAAAAAATATATTAATATTAATATTATTTATTCATGTTAATGTAGCGAAAAACATCCAGGGCAGATTATTTTTTATTACATTTTTACAAAATGTTATTTTGTATTAAACAAGATATATAGTGAATATCATTAAAAGGCTGAAAAATATATTGATATATGCTGTTTAGCTCCTTTTCCAGCTCTAAATGTTGACATTAGTGACGAGAAATCCTTAAAGGGTTAGTTCACCCAAAAATGAAATTAGGCTGCGTTTTACTCACCCCAGAGGCATCCTAGGTGTATGTGACTTTCTTCTTTCAGACGAATCCAGTCGGAGTTATATAAAAAATTATCTTTGAACTTTCAAGCTGTTTCATGGCACTCAGCGGGTGTTGCATGCATCAGTCCAAAAGAACTTAAATAAAAA